ACAGAAAACAAGGACAATGGAATAAAATATGCTACCAAGATAGAGTATGCAGGATTTTGTCATTATCCTAATAACAATGGCAAATGTTTAAGATAACATGATCAGATTACTATTTTGGAAAACCTTCCATTTGTATTTGAAGTGGACAAAATAAAGATTGGAGACATATTGATATTTACCAATGATCTTAAAGTATCTTTTATTATATGGAAATTTTTTTCACATGCATGAAGTTCTTACTCACCATTTACCTTTGGTAATTTCAGATTTGAAGACAAAGCCTCTTTCCTAAAATCTGCAAATTTAAGAGATAATACAATAAAAAAGAAATGACATCTTGATCTTACTCATTTTGAAAGGAAACAAATAGATACATTAAATATTTATTTTTTCATAATATTTATCATTGATGTCCATTCCCTTCTCAAAAATCTTCCTCCCAGAATATCATTCTCTCCTCATTCTTCACTTACTTCTTAGAACTCTTTATGGTGATCCACCAGGTCCTTAAATGTAGCTGTTTCTAATGTCCTAGCTGCTTCAGTTCTCCCCAAGAGGGCAGGTTACCCCCTAGCCTATCTAGTCAATAATACATGTAATTAGTAGTCTGAATTGTCCTCCCTACATCTGCTTATCTACGTATCTACTATATAACCCTGGAGCTTTTCCTAAAGATGAGGTGCAGTTATACCCATTTGTCCCACACTTCCTAGAGAAGCAAATCAATACAGAGATCTATTTGAAGAACAAGTGATAGAAGTAAGACCTGTCCATTTGCACAGACAGACATATTGCAGTTAAAGAACAGTTTAGAATCATTTCCAACTAGCTCACATCTTGTCTTAAAACAAAAATAGTTTAGAATACAAGTAAATTATATTTATTTACTTCCTTTTAATTTATTCTAAGCAGGATGAACAATTAACCTGCTAAAAAGCACCTTTAAAATAGAAGGTTTGGGAAACTTTAAGATAACTTGAAAACAAGATTTCTGAACACTAAACCATTTGGGGCCAGATCATGATTTAGGGACTGGGGTCCTGTCCTACACATTGTAGGATGTTTAGCAGCATCCTTTCCATCTACTCACCAGACACCAGTAGTCCACTTCCATCAGCTAGGACAACCAAAACTATCTCTAAACATTGCCAAATATTCTCCGGGAGAAATTTTAATTGTACTTTTTAGCTGAAGCTAAATTTAAAGGCAGGAAATGGTTTTCTAAACATGGGTAAAATCCATCTGAGTCCATCCAAAGTGAGGGTATAGATGGATCAGATATTCTTCACAAGTAAAGCAAACAATTCAACACTTACAATAGGCTACAGAAACAAATATACTTTAATTATTCAACAATATCTTATACTTCTCAAAGGGTTTTTTCCGTCCCCCCAAAAAAGCTACAGAGTTCTTTATGCATCTTTTAAAAACATGAAAAGAAAGAGATTAACTTTGAAATGAAATCAGTCTAGCAAGAAACAACATTTCAAACCATACAATAACATATATAAATCTTAGAGACCAGTTTTACAATACAGGCCATGAGATTACCCAGGAATTTGATCTTGTAATAAGTAAATCTCTGTGGATATTAAAGAATAGTTCTAAATCTAGTCTAGAGTAAACCATGTTTCAAAAAGTCTATGATATTATTTAGGCACTAATTATTAAGACTTAATTTGTTTTGGTAAAATAGTTTGAACACTTTGAATAAAAATTTAGAAGAGTAATATCAAACATTTGGACTAGAAAGCTCACCTCCCTCAATTTAAAGAAAAACAACTAAATAAAATTCAAAAGAAAATTTTATTATAAACTTCTGGTTGCTCAATCAACTCACCCTCAATGATGGAGTCATCTACTATTTCTTGAAGAACGTCATCAGTAAAATATAATTTATTGGTGTTTTCAAGTACATCTGAATATTTGTCTTTATCTTGCTGACAACTTTCTTTCATGGTGTCCAATGTATTCATGGTCTTATTCAATGCTATAAACACAAAGACAATACATGCAACATGCAATTCAATACATACATCTAAATCATTTACCATGACTCTAAAACAGATGGCTTCTTTTAGATCTGCACTGTCCAGCATGGCAGTCACTAGCCACATGTAGCCATTTAAATAAGCAGTAAGCAGTCCAGTTTCTATTTTGATGAGGTTTCTTCACTCTGACAGTTTTCTATTTATTAACCCAATATTTATATATAACCCTTCATTTATTCTTAAAATTACAGCTATGTATCCGATAATGATGTTTCAATCAACAACATCCTACACATGATGGTGGTTTCATAAGATTATAACAAAGCCTAGTAAGGCCACAGGTGCAACCACATTACTTAAGTGTTAGAAGTAATGCATGTGTAAACAAATTTACTGCACTTCCAATCATATAAAAGTACATACAATTACATATAATACATAATACCTGAGGATAATAACTGATTAACTTACTGGCTTATATATTTACCACATCATACTTTTATTGTTATTTTAGAATATATTTCATATATATACACAAATACACACACACACATACATATATATATAAAATACATATAAAATTTACTATAAAATACTATATTGTGCTTTTTCAGCAGCAGCCTCATGTAGTTCATCTTTCAATTGAATAATTTTCTCTGTGTTTGATTAAATCTTGCATTGCTTTGTTCATCATGACTCTTGCAATGGGACAAGTGCAGGGGGGAAGACAATAATATTTATAATCCTGATTCTGTGTAGGCCTATGGTAATTGTGTGATTTTTAACAAAAAAGTTTAAAAAGTTAAAAAAAAAAAAGGCAAGTAGTGTGGTGATTAAGGCACTGGATCCCACATGAATGACTTTGTGGTTCGAGTCCCAGACCCGGCAGCCTGAAAAACAAGCCAGGGCATGTGTATGTGCCTGCCCAAAATCCCATGAGAAGAATGAAAGAAAAGGGATTACGACATGACCATCACCCTGGGGTGGGGGTGGGGGCGCTGATTTCTCACTTTCTCTCTCTCTCTCTCTCTCTCTCTCTCTCTTTCTCTCACTGTCTGGCAAGTGCATGCAGCCTATAGCAAACTATAAATAAATAAATAAATAAATAAATAAATAAATAAATAAATAAAATAAGTAAAAACAATGAAAGATTTTAAAATAGAAAAAGCTTATAGAGAAAGGATATAAAGAAAATATTGAGTCGTCAGAAAAGTCGTGACGCATTTTTGCATAGAAACACATAGGAAAGATACATCATGACTTTTCTGACGACCCAATATTTTAGTACAGCTATACAATTTGTACTTTAAGCTAAATGTTATGACAAGAGCCAAAAAGTATTTTTAAATGCTAAGGTTTTTGTAGCAAAAAAGTCATAGTAAGGGGCCAGGTGGTGGTACAGTGGTAATGCAGCCAGCCCCACATAGAAATGACCTTGGGCTCCAATCCTGAGACCTCCCTGAGTACACCAGGAGTGCATGTGCATACATGTATACACAATCATGATCTGGCCTGGCTGAGACTGAGGGTGGGTTGTGGTATGAAGACCCTGTTGAGGATGCCTGCGTCCATCTCTGTCTCTCTCTTCCCCTTTCTCTCTCTCTCTGTCTCTCATGGAAAAAATAAATATATTTTTTTAAAAGCTACAATAAGCAGGGGGACCAGCAGGTGGTGTGGTGGTTGGGGCACTGGACTCCCATGTGGCTGGCCATGGTTTGAGACCCAGACATGGCAGCTTGCTTTCTCATTTTCCCTCATTCTCTCTCCCTCTCCCTAAATTGAAAAATGATAATCTATAGATAAAATTAAATAAATAATTCTTAAAAAAAAAAAAACTATAGTAAGGAGCCAATAAGGTGCTGTGACACTTAAGGCGCTAGACTCACACATGGCCGACCACAGTTTGAATCCTGAACATGGCAGCTTGAAAAAATCATGCTGGGCACATGTGCACACATGCCCAAAATACTGGGAGGAAACTGGAGGAGAAAGGACTGTGGTGTGGCCATCTCCCTGGGGGGTGATATCTCACTACTCTCTCTATCTCCTCTGGCAAGTATAAGCACCCTATGGCAAAAACCAAAAGAAAAAATTTAAAAACTACACTAAGCTAAGATTAATTTATTGTTGACAAAAGAATTATTTTTATTGTAGCCTAGTGAAGTGTTTATAAAGTTTACAGTGGTGTGAGTAATGTCACAGGCCTTTACATTTACTCACCACTGACTCACTGACACCCAGAACAACTTTCAGTCCTGAAACCACGCCATTCATGGTAAGAGCCCTATCTGGTATACCATTTTTTATACTGTATTTTTACTGTACCTTTTCTATGTTTCTATTTTCTAGGTACACAAAATACTACTGTGTTAAAACTTCCTGCAATATTAAGTACAGCAACATGCTGTACAAATTTGCAGCTCCGAGGCAACTGGCTGTATCACGTGGTCTGAGTATGTAGTAGGTAATACCATCTAAGTTTGTTAAGTACACTGTGATATTCAAAGAACGATGAAATCCCTTAACAATTGTTCTAATTCTAGTCCAGTTTCTGCTGCTTAATAACCAACTATACATGAATAAAATAAAACTTAAAAATAAACATCAAACAGGGACCAGCAGATGGTGTAATGGTTACATCGATGAGCTCCCATGTAGTCAACTGTGGTTCGAATTCTGGACCTGGAGGCTTAAAACTCATGCTAGGTGCATGTGCATGCACGCCCAAAGTCCTGAGAGGAGAATGAAGGAGAAGGAATTGCAGCATGGCCATCCCCCTAGGGAGTGATTTCTCACTTTCTGTCTCTGTCTTTCCAGCAAGCACACGTGCCCTATAGTAAAAATGTCTCTCAAAAATAAATAAATAAATAAATAAATAAACAAACAAACAAACATCAAACAGAGGACAGTAATAAAATTTAAATTTCTTTGAAATTTGAATTTTTCTCTTAAACATCTTTTAGATCAAGAAGAAAATCAAAATACAACTGGAAATATTTTTAAAATAAAAATAATAGCCCAAAAAATAAAAAAATTATTAGATAAACCAAAGTTTTACTAAAATGGAAACTAGTAGCCCAAAATATGTTTATTACCTAGCAAGGAATAAAAGAATTTTTTTCATTTTTTTAGCTTTTTGTTAGTATATTAATAATTTAAATAAGTAAGAAACCCTATAAAACAGGCATAATGGAACAATATAAAGGAATTAATAAAGATAAAGCAGAAATTAATTTTAAATTATCAACACAAATACTAAAGGTAAATCTAAAATATATTTTTTAGTTTACCAGAGGGTGCATGTACTTACCAGAGAGAGACAGAAAGAGAGGAAGAGGAAGAGGAAGAAAGTAACCTCCAATGGGGCACGGTCATGCTGCAATCCATTTTCCTCCATTTCTCTATTCTACATGGATTTTTGAGCATGCACACACATGTGAACGGTGCATCCATCTATATTTATATATACACACACTGATTACATATATACTGTTTATATATATCATATATATACATATATATATGATATATATAATTTTATATACATATTCCAGAAAGTGATGTTACAAGAAACTTAAACTTTATACTTTTACCTTTCTGGTCATTTAGTTATTTTGCTACATTCAAAATTGGCATTAGTAGGGCCAGCAGGTGGCATTAAGGTGCTGGATCCTATATTGCTAACTCCATACTTTGAATTCGAGATCCAGAGGCTTGAAAAACACACTGGGCATATGTGTGTGGGTACCCAAAATCCCAAGAGGAGAATCCAAAATATGTTTATTACCTAGCAAGGAATAAAAGAATTTTTTTCATTTTTTTAGCTTTTTGTTAGTATATTAATAATTTAAATAAGTAAGAAACCCTATAAAACAGGCATAATGGAACAATATAAAGGACTTAATAAAGATAAAGCAGAAATTAATTTTAAATTATCAACACAAATACTAAAGGTAAATCTAAAATATATTTTTTAGTTTACCAGAGGGTGCATGTACTTACCAGAGAGAGACAGAAAGAGAGGAAGAGGAAGAGGAAGAAAGTAACCTCCAATGGGGCACGGTCATGCTGCAATCCATTTTCCTCCATTTCTCTATTCTACATGGATTTTTGAGCATGCACACACATGTGAACGGTGCATCCATCTATATTTATATATACACACACTGATTACATATATACTGTTTATATATATCATATATATACATATATATATGATATATATAATTTTATATACATATTCCAGAAAGTGATGTTACAAGAAACTTAAACTTTATACTTTTACCTTTCTGGTCATTTAGTTATTTTGCTACATTCAAAATTGGCATTAGTAGGGCCAGCAGGTGGCATTAAGGTGCTGGATCCTATATTGCTAACTCCATACTTTGAATTCGAGATCCAGAGGCTTGAAAAACACACTGGGCATATGTGTGTGGGTACCCAAAATCCCAAGAGGAGAATGATGAAGAAGGGATTGCAGCATGGCCATCCCCCTGGAGATGATTTCTCACTTCTACTCTCCTCCCTCTCTTTCTCCATCTGTCTCTTTCTCTCCCTTTTTCCACCTCTTTACGGTGAGTGCATACACCCTACAGCAAGACATTTTTTTTTTAATTGCCATTAGTATATAATAAAAGTATCTTATTTTAACTACTGGAATTATTACAACCTTGTAACTTTTTCCAAACTTTTTCATCACAAATGTACAATTCTTCAACTTAAAAATAAAATACAGTGAGAGCAGCAGGTGGCATAATGCTATGTCACTGGACTCCCACGTGACTGACCATGGTTCAAGTCCTGGACCCTGAAGAAGGGATTGCAGCATGGCCATCCCCCTGGAGATGATTTCTCACTTCTACTCTCCTCCCTCTCTTTCTCCATCTGTCTCTTTCTCTCCCTTTTTCCACCTCTTTACGGTGAGTGCATACACCCTACAGCAAGACATTTTTTTTTTAATTGCCATTAGTATATAATAAAAGTATCTTATTTTAACTACTGGAATTATTACAACCTTGTAACTTTTTCCAAACTTTTTCATCACAAATGTACAATTCTTCAACTTAAAAATAAAATACAGTGAGAGCAGCAGGTGGCATAATGCTATGTCACTGGACTCCCACGTGACTGACCATGGTTCAAGTCCTGGACCCCGTGGCTTAAAACTCATGCTGGATGTGTGTGTGTGTATGTGTATGTGTGTGTGTGTGCCCAAAATTCCAAGAGGAGACTGGAGGAGAAGGGATTGAAGCATGGTCATCCCCCCGGGGGGTGATTGCTCGCTTTCTGCCTCTCTGTCTCTGACTCTTGGCGAGCACACACTCCCTATAAAAACCTCTCTAAAAAAAATTAAAATATAGTAAGTTCCCCATAACTGGAAATGTTCAAGTACAGATTAAATAAACATTTAACACAGATACTATAAAGAAGATCTAAGCACTTAATGAGTATTTGACTACATTACTGCATTGTTGCCTTCTAACAATTTACTGTAAAGCTCTTACCAATAAAATTGGAAAATTTCTTGGTGTCCCTCAAAGTCTTCATACAATCTTTCACATTCACCATGTTGTCTTCTGGAAGTAAAAAAGAAAAGTGACAAATAAAAAGTAGTATTAAAAGGCTATTTGTGATTTATTTTAAAAAAGCACTCAACATTTATGTATCTATTGAACATTTTATTTATAAGATACTTCTGGATTTATTTCCACCCATCATGCTGTTTAATGACCCAGGTTCTGGATATACTAGTTCTGATTCCACCTGTAATGAAACTAAAGTACCAAGAAAGGTCCAGTAACTTCACTTGGCCAAGGTGCCAAAGCTAAGATTTCTATTGTACTCACAGATTTTTAATTATAAAGCTGTTCTTCACTCATTGAATCAAGATGTCTGTGAGGAGAGATTTTTGATCCCCACAAAATTTAAACCTACTTGTCAGAAAGTATTTTCATAACTGCAAAAGTGGAGAGACTCCTTTTCAAAGGCAGTATTTAAAGAGCCATCAACAAGTACCTACGGGCATTGTACATCTACAGAACAAATACAAAAAAACTTGAGAATAATGCTTAAAATACTTACCAGAAACAAAATCTGACTGAAGAATTTTCTCTGCCTCTTCTTTAGGTGCCTGAATTCCAATATGTTTTAGAAAATCCTCCAACTTCTCACCAGGTATCATGTCACCTTCAAGCAAATCAAGAGCTGAGACAACTCCTTGTAAATCTAGAAGCAGAAAAAAAAAGTTGTTTAATAACTAAACTAACCTATGACTGATTGATTGATTTATAAGTGTTTTGTCTGTTTCTGGTTTTTGGTTTTTTGTTTTTTGGGTTTTTTTTCCATTTGGGTTTTTCCACAGGACACATGTGCTCACCAGAGAGAAATTTTCAAGCCACTGGGTCTGACTCAAACCAGTCAGTCATGTGGGAATCCAGTGTCTTCACCACACCACCTGCTGGCCCCACTAACCTCTGATTTAAAAGACAACAGTAGTGGGGCCAGCAGGTGGCATGATGGTTAAGGTACTGGACTTTCTTATGGCTGACTATGGTTTGATTCTCAGACCTGACAGCTTGCTTTCTCACTCCCCTCCTCTTTCTCTGGTCAAATTAAAAAATAATAATAAATAAAACTGAATAAACAATTTTTTAAAAAATAAAATAAAAACAACAGTAGCCATCAGTGAAGAATTTTGTCATGGCAGTCCCTGGTATATTACCAAATTCTGAATTGAGGAAAGATAAGGAGAAATTCAGCCCTCAGAGAATTCAATGGCCAGTAGCAGCACATAAAGAAAGCTCATGGTCTATCGTGTTTTTCTGGTGCTAGTAAAAATTGGCATAACCGAGCCCAGTGGCTGTTGCACAGTAGTAATACAAGTGCTCAGGAATGCTGGAAGCTATATGGCTGACAACTTGTAAATCTAGAAGCAGAAAAATGCTTTTGATAACTAAACTAACCTCTGATTTATTTATTTATTTTTAGGTGTGTGTTTGTTTTTTGGTTTTTGGTTTTTTCCTATTTAGGTTTTTTCAGATCCACAGGTCAGATAAGCCTGAAAACACTCTGGGCATGTGTATGAGCACTCAGGAGCCAGAGGGCTAGGGAAGGGGGATTACAGCCTGACAAGACTTTTTGAGGGTGCTTCCTTCTCTTCTCTCTCATGCACATGCACATAAAAGTGCATACACATGCATGCTCTATCATTAAAAAAAAAATTGGCACAACCTAAATGATTTATATAGCTGAATTTTTCACTGCCTATTATTCAAAATAGTTATTTTGTCCAAGAACTTCAATGTTGCAAATAAGATGATATAGGTGAAATAAATTTCAGAATAATGAGAAATGTAAAATGACCTGGCACTATATGACCATGAACAAATTATTAACTACCTAACCCCTTTATAAAATTCAATAATCTTATACTTAAAAAGGAATAATATTAACCTCACGAAATTGATGCAGAGATTAAATATGATTATGTATGAAATGCACTTAAAACAATCTCAACATTTATTGGTATTGGTGTTATACTGCACTGGTTGGCCATGTCATCCCCCAAGCTCTGTGACTCCCTCCAGGTCAAGTACCTAACTGATATCTGCTCTATTCAGCTCAATGGCTTAATTTCTAATGTTTTTCTTCCCTCTTAACTTCATAAAAAGTTACCTGTCTTAAACAGGAATCCTTCTAAACCCTGCTCTCTGGTTTCAAAATTAATTATAGAGCCAGCCCTTAGACTAGTGGTTGAGAGAACCATATCCCACAGTCAACTATGGTTCAAATCCCAGCCTCAATGGCCTGAAAAACATGCCAGGTGCATGTGCATGCATGTGGAAGATCCCCACAGGACGGAGAAATGGAGAGAAGGAATTGTGGAATAACCACACCCCACTGAGAGGTGCTTTCTCCTCTCCCTCCACCCCCTGCCCTTTGGAGAGAGCACATGTGCACTCTGGCAATCAACAATAAATTCATTAATTAATTAAAAAAATAACTACTACTACTTACTAAGCACATAATATGTGCCCAATACTAGCAAGTAAGCTTTACATGTGTTACTGGATTTGACCTCTATAATCCTAGGAGAAATATCATTTTATTAGCTTTACATTTTAAAGTTGAAGAAACCAGAATGGCCTAGAGAATCACTGAGATGAGAAGTGGAAGGACCAAAACCCGTATCTGCCCACTCTACAGCCCACACTCTTCTACTTTCAGGCATTGTTTTCTACAGCATTGGTAATCTAATTAACGTACTATCGATAATCATATGTGTTTATTTTAATAAGAAATTATTAAACACTTTTCTTTAACCTAAAAGAGACCTCTAATAGAAGGAATTTCATATACCAGAACAGACTGGATACTGAAAATCTGAAAGTATTTTTCTACTTCTTTGTACACAGAAATGACTCTGAATTTCTCTTCCTAAACATTTCTGTTGTTTCTCTCTCGATCTCTCTCTCCTTTTTTTTTAATTTTCACAGGATATGTGCACTTACAAGAGAGAGATAGAGACAGAAAGAGGGAGAAAAAGCTCCCCTCTAATGAGGCATGGTCATATCACAATCCCTTCTTTACTTCTCTGCCCTATCAGGATTTGGGCATGGTTTTCAAGTCACTGAACCAAGATTCAATCACAGTTGTCTATGTGGGATCGAGCTTCCTTAACCACTAGGCCTTTGGGCTGGCCCTGTTTTTTCTTATCCAGATAATGGTCACAGACAAAATGGTCATTTTAATAGCTATTCAAGTTAAATGATTGTTGTTTTTTTATCTCTACCAGTTGAGTTTTATCTGCTGTACAATAAACCAACCACCTTATATCTTTTAGCTAGAAAAACACTAAAGTTGAATAAAAGTGTAACAAAATGAATTAGAGCTCAATTAAAATTTGCTTTTGGGGAAAGATCACCACAAATCTACTCAATTAATAAAAACACTTTTACAGACAGAGTTTATCTATTTCTAATACCTGTTATGCCATGAATTCATAGGGCATAGGTTCCAGAAGCTCCAGTTCCTTTCTATTGGTTATCACAAAGTGTGCTTCTCTTTTTTTTTTTTTTTTTTTTGAGAGGTTTTCTCTATAGGGCGCGTGTGCTCGCCAGACAGAAAGAGAGAGACATAGAGACAGAAACCGAGAAATCACCCCCCGGGGGGATGGTCACGCCGCAATCCCTTCTCCTCCATTCTCCTCTCAGGATCTTGGGCATGCACGTGTACGCGCCCAGCGTGAGTTTTAAGCCACCAGGTCCGGGACACGAACTGCAGTCAACTACGTGGGAGTCCAGCACATAGCCATTACGCTAACTGCTGGTTCCTACAAAGTGTGCTTCTCTAGGAAGAGCAGGCTGGTGCTTCTGTTGAACCAAGATACCTTTCTCTTTGGCTTCCTTCTTTTTTTGGTCATTTTCCTTCACATGTTTTAGGAAACTATCTCTACTCTTAGAATGCTTAATATGCTCAATACACATATTAATTCTCTTGGTAAGAATGTTGCCCTTAATTTGTATGCTTACAGCAATGCCAACAGCATGCTGGGGTAAAACTGTAGACTCTTGCAGTTTTGCCATGTTAACATTTGTGGGACATTCTTTTTTTTTAGAACTATTCTATTTAACTTTATTTGTTTATTTATTTATTTTTTAAATTTGACCAGAGGGACAGAGCGAGAAAGTGAGAGTGAGAAAAAGAGAGAGAAAGCGACAAAGCAAGCCGCCAAGCCCAGGACTCAGACTGCGGTTGACCACATGGGACATTCTTTTTTGAATGGTACCATCCCCTTGAAGTCTACAATATCGCCTTTCTTGTGGATTCATACATATGTTGCCAAAAGAACTACTCCATGTTTTCTAAAAGGGCTCGAGAACGTATATTGGGTACTTTTTGTTTTTCCCTCTGTGTTCATCATTTTGATGAATTACTAGAAGAAAGCAGTTCTGGCCAAAAGGAGGTAATTGCCAATTTTAAAGATATTCTCCAAACAAAAAAATACGCCAACTCTACAAGTACTTATTATCTTCATTGATTTTTACAATTATTGAAAATCAAGTTATTGTAAAATAGTGTTATCAAAATGCATGTGGTCACTCTTTTAAAAAAAACTACAGAAAGGAACATGAAAAATGTGTACTAGAAGAAGATATAGAAGAAATTCTATAATATAGAGTCAATACATGAGATAGAGTTCTAAATCTGAGGCTTAAAAAGATAGAGATTATTACTATCTGGAAAAATTTTAAAACCAGTTATTGACTTCCCATAAAGCCTAGGAAGTCAAAAAGGGATTAAAAGTAACTTTTAACACACTCCTTTTCTAGGAAAAAAAAAAAGCTGTTTTTTCCTCTCATTATAGAAGCTACCAATATTTAGCTAAAACAAAACTTTGCCTATCTAGAAACAAATCAATGCCAAAATGTTAACCAGAAATCAGCAGAACCAGAAATTTTGAAAAATAAAATGAAACAAAAGGAAGTCTATCAGTCAAAGTAAACTTAGGTCACAAATCATCCAGTTCTTACCTTCAAACCTAGAGGCATCATGCACGTTCTTTACAACTTTTGCAAATTCTTCAAACTGTACTTTGCCACCCTCTGTGAGAAAAACATTATTAATAGATCAGCCTCGCTAAGCAAAAGCCAGAACCACTAAAGCAATCTATAAATGTAAATTATTTTAGGTACTCATAAAAATCATATTTTCTGTTGATATTTTGAGTAATCAAATGATGAATTTTATGGAATTAGTAAGTCTTACGATTACAGATGTCAGGTTACGTTTTCAATTTCTATCAATCAATATGGGATACATTTCATATTCTTAAAATATAAAACCAAGACATATTTCTAGATAAAAATAAGAGACAGGCTTCAGTCATAGTTTATCCTTTTAACTGTTTAAAAATTAAAATTCTGTACTAAATAAGTTTAAAGACTTCATTCAGTGTCTGATGATTCTATAATTTCTGATATATTTACACCTGTTTCTTTTTTGGGAGGAGAGATTTTTGCTATGGGGTACATGCACTCGCCAGAGAGACAGAGACAGAGAGACAGAAAGTAAGAAATCACACTCTGGGGGGTGGGGGGAATGGCCACAGCGCCATCCTCTCTTTTTTGATCTCCTGGGATCTTGGGCACGCATATACAGGTGCCCGCAGTCAGTCATGTGAAAGTCCAGCCACGTAACCAGTACGCCATCTGCTGGCCCCTACACCCATTTCTTGCACAAGAATAAAAAGCACTAAATTACAAAGTCAAAGTGACAAACACAGGAGACAGAAGTCATTTTATTTTGCTAGTCAAGAACAAGGATTTAAATTTATTGTAGTTTTGTCATTTATGATCATAGACTAGAACAAAGTATAGCAAGCAAGGATTATCACCTGAAGATAAAAGTCAGTCTAGGGTTTAAATACATAGCTATAAATAATAATGTCTTGTCTTCTATCTTTCTCGGCTTTCAAAATTTACATTTGAGTTCTTAGAAACTATACTCTGTACTAAAAGTACATGTCTTTATTACAGCTTTTCTCTTTTTGTAGGGCTTTGTATCTCCGTAACTATGAAGGCCCTGCCCCTTATTCTGTCAGTTATCTCTGGTGGGAAAAAAAGGAACAGAATCAAAAGGAAGGCTTTGTATATTCCATTGCCCATACTTCTTTTATACACTGTCATTCTGGATGGCCTTCCCTCAGCCTAACTTCAATCAGCAAGCCTAGAGCATCAAATCTAGCACCACCAGCAAAACAGAGAATGTCTCAGTCTTTAAACAGCAAGGGACATCTATGATTCCCTCTATCTAATTCCTAGCCTATAGATTCAGTCTCTCATATTCACCTTGACTATTTTCCACATCATCCTGACACATTTTGGCTTAACTCCACTTTCTTCCTACAAGTTTTTCAGAAGAAACAAAGGAACTCAAAAGCTATATAACCAGATATTTAGGCAGTATTCTGACTTTGCCAAATTAAAAGTACCCTTTTTTATTTTTCGATTTTTTTAAAAAGAATCACAAAGTTATTTTATATTACATCTAGATACTAAGAAGATACAGGAAGGGAAATAGGTTAGCTTTCAATTTTTTAGTATATATAATAGTCTTTGCTTTATGATATTTTTGTGAGCTTTGTTTTTACTTGCTAACTAAATGGAAGCTGCCAGCAGGTGTGTTTTTCTACCAAATTAGTCTATTTCAAAAAAACAGCATAAATATCTCAAGTATTGTTAATATAAAGTTTGAATAGATCTCTTAACATATCCTAACTATACCTCTATGTTCATTGAGACATTCCATTTTCCAGCAACATATTACACAATTTGAAGGTACTCAATGCATATTTTATCATCTTAGAGTAATAGTAAACTAGATATTAATACTTTTTCTATAAGATAGCCAAAAAATCAGAACTTCCTTTATATTTCCTAAATGCAAGTGTTAGCATGTCAGCAATACTGGAACATTTTATTCCACCAAATATAAGACAGAAGACAAATAAGTGTTGACAGAAGACAAACTCATATCCTTGTGAACTTTTTTTTTAAGACTTATTTTTATTTAACTTCCTTCCTTCCTTCCTTTCTTTTTAATTTGACCAGAGAAGTACAGGGAGGGAGGG